GAGACAGACATAGCACTTCTACCACTAAAGTCTCAGCCAGAACTGGCCTCTGACTCTGTCCCCGCAGGAGGGGGCAATTTGATGTTGAATATATAGTATGTCTTTTAACATTGCCAAGTGCAAAGGATAATTGGAAAGGTAAGCATATACATGCAGTAAACAGAAACATACCCACACATAAATTAGAATGTTAGATTATAAACTGCTGATTACATAATATAAAAACAAGAGAATTCAATACTGATACAGGTACTGTATCCCCTTTGTGAAACTTAGGTAATAACACACAAAACACTTAGGAAAATGTTGATTTATTCAATGGAACCAGAAATGGAGACACTTTGACAATGTCAATCTGCAGGGCAGGAAAAAGGCAATGATAAAACCTTTTAAGAGCTGGTGGGTACTCTTTAAACAGTCTTCACAAAATATGTAATATATGGTCGCATTTTTACACATTGTATGCGGGAAACGTATTTATACGTTTTACGTTGACTGGTAGTAGAGCGCGCGATAAAAACTACCCACAAACAATGTGTTTATATTTATAATTTCATTAGAGCTTGAAACTAACATAAAATTTGGAGTTCATTTCATCTACTCTCATGTTACCAAAAGCTACCCGATTCTAAACTTTTCTGTGTAAAGGAAGCTAGAAAACATGCTTCTATTGTTTTTATCTCTGCAGAGCCACTGTGCTGAGCCCTGGAGCAGGTCTGGAAACAGGATACCCATACAGGCCTCAGTGCCTCTAGGGCCTACTGGTCCAGAACTACTAATCTTGAGATTAACAAAATTTATATATCCCAAATAAGCACCACCTTCCCTTAAGGCCAAGTCCTCTCTTGATTTGCTTTCTAATCTTTAAAAGAAAATTAAGTGTTTGTTTATTTTTTCAATTTTCCCCAATTTGTATAGTGCATAAGTGATGTTGGAAGGAGTCATACATAAATATGTAGTGAGGTGAAATGTAGGATCATGAATAAGGTGAGCTAGAGCAGACTTTAGTATGGATATCTCTGAAGACATAAACATGAGAGGTTAGCTTAATTATTCTGTAGTCCAATCCTACAGTGAAATTTGCTTTTTCTACTTCTCTTAGCATCTTCTAAAACTGAAATACTTAAAAATGCTTGATGGGGGAGACAACAAGATGGCGCAGTAGGTAACAGCGGTACCTGCTGCCTCCCTCAACCACATCAAAATTACAACTAAAATACAGAACAACCATCATTCAGAACCTCTTGAAATCTAGCTGAACAGAAGTCCTACAACTAGGGAACTGAAGAAGCATATCGAGATGGGGAGGAAGGACAGAGACAGGGGGCAGAATCTGGGTTGAATTGCAGAGACCTGGCAGAAGCCCCACACCCAGGGGCTGTGGTTTAAAACCAGTTGGGATATTTTGGTGGTGGAGGTTTCCCAGAGGAGCGAGGGGTCCCAGCCCCACATCAGGCCCCCCAGCCCAGGGTTCCAGTGCCGGGAAGAGAAGTTCCCACAACTTCAGGCTGTAAAAACCAGTGGGGATTCTGGCTGAGCGACTTGGAGGCTGCAGGAGTCCCAGGCAGTTCCTCTTAAAGGGCCGGTGCCTGGACTTACATAGATACGCTCCCTCTGAGCTCCAGCACTGGGGTGGCAGCTGGAAAGGAACCTGGGACATTCAGGGAGGAACTAACTTGCCTAGAATCAGGGCAACAGGTGGATGGGCAGCTTTCTCCCAGACAGAAGAGCTGTCAGAGGCCATTGCTCCTCTGACAAGCCCTCCCCCACACAGCTGGCAGGGAGTCACCACATCTAAATCTCCATCAACACTGGCTCAGACCTGGTGATTCCCAGAGACCCCCGCCCCTCCCTACTTGCAAGCTCATCCAAACCATTTCCAGTGGCATTTCTATGCAAATGGCCTCTCTTACCTCAGATTTTGGACTTTCCTAGAATCTCTCAAACAAGCAGCAGCTGGCCTCAGCATGCCCCATACCTCTTGATAAGTGGCCCCAGGCCTGGAACTAGCAGCAGCCTGCATTGGTTCATAGCTTGGCCTCTCCTCGACACTGCCAAGCCCAGCACAAGTAGCATCCACCTATAGTTTGCTTTGTAGCTCATGCTGGGTGGCCCTGGGCAAGGCACTGACTTTGTGCCTCATGAGAGACCCCAGAGACACTGCACCCAGTGGTCAGCTTCAGCTGCGCCAGATTATAACCCTACTACATTCACAAGTGACACACTCAAGGGGTGCACTTGGTGAACACCAAAGCTCCACTGTAGTAAATCCTGCTCCATAGGGGTGTCTCCAGCACACTAGCTCTTCAGCTGTAGCTGCAGTTGGTCTTCACAGCTGACTGGCCCGGAGTTCAATTCCTCCCAGTGATGCCAATAGCAACCAAGGCTCAACTACAATAGTACAGAGCACACAGCACACACAGGGGAGCACCTAGAAGGCCCAGCTCAGGTGACTGGGGAGGCTGAGCCACTGGGCCCTACAGGACACCTACTACACAAAGCCACTCTACAAGTTCCAGGAGACATAGCAGCTCTACCTAATACATAGAAACAAACACCAGGAAGCAGCCAAAATACAGAGGGAAAGGAACATATCACAAAGGAAAGAACAAAAGAAATATCCAGAAAAATAACTAAGTGAAATGGAGCCAAGCAAGCTACTAGATAGAGTTCAGAATAATGGTTATAAGGATGCTCAAGGATCTTAGTAAGACTATTAAAGAAACTAGTGAAATCATCAATGACATAATAAAGTATCAATCAGAAATGAAGTCTACACAAACTGAAATGAAGAATAATTTACAAGGAATCAACAGTAGAGGACACTGAGAATCAAATCAGTAATTTGGAATATGAGGGAGCAAAAAACACCCAACCAAAAGAGCAAAGAGAAAAAAGAATCCAAAAATATGAAAATAGTGTAAGGAGTCTCTGGGAAAACTTCAAGTGGCCCAACATTCACATTATAGGAATGCCAAAAGGAGGAGAAAGAGAACAAGAAATTGAAAACCTATTTGAAAAAATAATGACACTAAACTTCCCCTACCTGTTTGAAGAAACAGACTTACAAGTCCAGGAAGCACAGAGAGTCCCAAACAAGAGGAACCAAAAGAGGTCCACACCAAGACAAATCACAATTAAAATGCCAAAAGTTAAAGACAAAGAGAGAATCTTAAAAGCAGCAAGAGAAAAGCAGTTAGTTACATACAAGGGAGCACTCATATGGCTGACAGCTGATTTCTCAACTGAACCTTTGCAGGCCAAAAGGGAGTGGCAAGAAATATTCAAAGTGATGAAAAGCAAGGACCTACAACCAAGATTACTCTACCCAGCAAACCTGTCATTTAGAAATGAAGCCCAGATAAAGAGCTTCACAGATAAGAAAAAGCTAAAGGGCCCAGCTGGTGTGGCTCAGCCGTTGAGCACTGACCTAGGATCCAGGAGATTGCAGTTCGATTCCCAGTCAGGGCACATGCCTAGGTTGCGGGTTCAATTCCCAGTTGAGGGTGTGCAGGAGGCAGCTGATCAATGACAACTCTCTCATAATTGATGTTTCTATCTCTCTCTCTCCCTCTCCCTTCTACCCTCTGAAATCAATACAGATATATTAAAAAAAAAAAAAAAAAAAAAAAGCTAAAGGAGTTTCAAACCAGTATTACATGAAATGTTGAGGGGTCTTCTTTAAGAATAAGCTAATAAACAAAAGAATCTGACAAACAAAATAGAGCCAGAGACATCGAAGCATGCAACAGACTGTTGTATCTCAGAGGGAAGAAGGAAGGAGGTTAGGGGTGGGAAAAGACTAACCAAAGAACTTATATGCATATATGCATAACCCATGGACACAGACAATAATGGGTGAAGGCCTGGGGAGGGGGTGGGAGTGATGTGGCGGGGTCAATGGGGGAAAAAACAAATGGGACGCCTGTAATACTTTCAACAATAAAGGTAATTTTTTAAAAAAATGTCTGATGGGTGACTAAATAAAAAATGAACATTGAAAAAAAATAAGCACAAAAAAAGGGAAAAAAAATAGAAGAGAAACAAAACAGAAAAAGAAAAAAGAAAAAAAAATGAGTATTGACATAATGGTATCCCTTTACAAATGAGCATCAAATATTAAATACAAATTAAATATATTTAATGCCTGGATTAGCATTAAATATAAGTCACTGCTCGAAGCTACTCTAGCACATTTAGTCCTCAACCCACTGCCTTTCCTCTCTGGTGTCCTAGAAGGAAGCTAGTATAGACAGTGCTTGTTTACGTTCTTTCACTAATCTGTCTAAACTTGGAGTTCCTTCCTTTGCCAATTTATGGAGTTACATGAAGAGATAGGAGCAAAAAGTCTCAGGACAGCTATTTACAAACATGAAAATATCTGGGTTCCTCAGAACACTTAAACCTAATAGCATGCTGTAAGGACAGAAAACAGTCCCTTTTCTTTGCTGTGGCCTTCCACAATTTACCTGGTAATTAAACCCTGAGATTGTTGGCTCCTTTGATTCAAATAGCTCCTCTGTTCAAAACTGCAGAGAAGATAAGCTACTCTCAAGGCTACATTCTTGCATCTCCCTCCTCTCTGCTGTTTTCACGACTCAGGGATAATTCCCACCTAGGAGTCTCTAGTTAGTTGAAAGTTCCCTTCCTCCCTACCCTTCAACAAGCCTCTTTTGAACTCTATAACTTTTATTCTAAGCTTGTTTTATAGGCTTGGGGAAAATACTGATGAAACCCCCTTAGGATATCTGCCAGACTGTCTCCTGGAAAGCAAACTAGCTTTTCAAGACAACCCCCTTAGTATCTGCTCAACTTCAACACAATCCTCTTCCCTTCCTTGTGACTTAGCAGCCTGTGTCACCAGCCAAACCCTAATACATGCCAGATTTTTAAAACCAACTTAGAATTCTTAAAATAGAGATGACATTTTTAATATTCTCAACTAAAATTCAGGCAAGTGTGTCAGCCATGATAATTAGTAAATAAACCTAACGCATGGCCATAAAGCAAGTTATTTATTCTTTTTTAAATGTTAAAACTATTCTACAAGCTACTAAATCTAAGAGAACCTAAATACATTCATATTTTTAAAAATATGTCATCTATATTGTACAAACACTAGTTGATTCAACCTGCAGAAACCTATAAAAATTAGGAGCAGTTCTGTTGATCTGGAGGTTAAGTTCTGAAAGTGCTTCATTTCTGAAACTTATTGTAGAGGAAGAACTGCAGGTGGTTCCATAAGAGACACATGCATGTACCTGAAATGAGACCCAAAGCAAGTTCAGCATGAGCCAAAGACTTCAGTTTTGTAAAATCTCAGTTAGGCCACAGAAAACTTTCTAGTAGTTTTAACAGAAAGGAAAGAAGGTAGCTGATGGTACATACTACAAGCTAATTATAAATCTATGTCTCTGAACTTATTTTATTTTTCCTTTGTTTGATTTTGTTTGTTTTTAACTGATTTTCTTGATTTAACATACAACCTTGCTTTTCCAGCCTAGCACCAGATATACAGTTTGTTCTATTTTTAATTCTGATATTTCTATGACCTATTAAAGCTTTAAAGCTTTAAATAATGAGTGTAGATAAGAAAATTTCAGGAACTTACTTTGAAATCTTATACTTCTCCCTAATTGCTTGCTGAGGTCGATGGGGTATATCAAGGCATGCTTTATGTAGCTCACTCAGGCAAGGCACAATTTCACTTAATGAATAGCCTGTAAATGCAGCAAGGGTTTCTGGCTAATCAAGACAAAAGAAAAAAGTTGTATCATATAACTTTCTAAGATATGAGAAATCTGAAGATAAAACGGTGAAATAAAGGAAATTAATCACTAGTGTCCATATGACCTGGGTTTATAGTAATCTGGATTTACCACCCAAGGCCCCACCTGGACTCATAAGGTTGGGAAAAGAAATCCACTGAAACTCTATGATTAAGCTCTGACCTTTACACAGGGAATGTTTTCTAAATTGCCCCCAGTTCCAGGAACAAAAACTTAAGATGGTGCCTAAGATAAACTGACTAATGCTTGTTTCGGCTTCTGTACCCAACTGCTTTTGCAAGGCCATTAAAACAGCTCAACCCCCTCCAGCCAAGGAGGATATTTTTTGGTTTAAATACTGCTAGTGTAGGGGATGGGGTACAGCAGATTTGGGTGCGGTGCCCCTGTCGTCTGCTAGCGCAATAAACTTTGCTCCTACATTTGACCCTGAGTGTGGCTTTCTCTGTCGTTCTTGCTGTTAAGCTATAACGTTTGGAGGCCCCAGTGAGATCTGGTGCTCCGTGTCACCAGACGACAGATACCTCATGCCGACATAGCGGTGCCTCCGGCCTGGCCTCCAGACCTAGGGGGACTCCAGGGGAGGCGCCCCCTGAGACGTTCCAGGGCCGCGGAGACTGGCCCCGGGGGCTCGGGAAAAGGTCCATTGAGAGCACCATCATATCACACAAACTTTTTGGAGCAACAGCCTGGAAATCCTCCAGAGGTGAGCCTGGTTTCTGTTTCTGAACCGCCGGTCCTGGTTAGCGGAGCAGCCGGAGGCGCTTAGACCTCCGCTAAGAGGTCACCTTCCTCCAAGACATTGGAGTGAAGCCTGGATTTCTTGTCTGTGTTGGCCCTTCCTGTATGCGGCCACAGTGTTTGTTGTCTTCTTTTTGTGGATTCGTTCGCTCTATACTAGGGGACATCAATTGGTTTTATCCGACTTCCGTGACATTTGATGGTATTTGTGAATGGATAACTCACCTTTTCTTTCAGGGCACTTTGAGGGATTATTTCCCTCTCGAGATCACCTTGTTCACCTCCTTCCTCCTTTTCTGTCTGTTGTCTCGGTGATAAGTCCAGTTTTCTTTTATTCCAGAGTCCGGCCATGCTCCTCGGAAGACTTTGGACAATAAAACCCAAGTGGCTATCCCTTTTCTGTCTTTTGTCCCTTGTCGTTGTCTCCCTCTCTCTCATCATAAGGGGAGGTTTTAGTTGCCAGGAAAACCCCCTTGGGTGCCTCCTCAGGTACTTCAAAGAAGGGTTTGAGGAGGAAGGAGGGTTTAGTATAAAATGGTCGAAGGGGTTCCTGCGAACCCTGTGTGAATTGGAATGGCCAAAATTTGGAGTAGGGTGGCCAGACACTGGGTTCTTTGACCCCAGGTTAGTTGAAGCTGTGTGGGACACAGTAACAGGGAGCCCGGTCACCCAGACCAGTTTCCTTACACTGACCAATGGTTTAACCTGGTAGACTATGCACCCCAGTGGCTGCAGGCCTGTGCTTTAAAAACTGGGGCCCGAGTCCTTGTTCTCAGGTCAAAGGCACCGAGGGCAAAGGCAAGGACAGAGCCCCCTGTCTTGTCCGCTCCCCAGGAGGAGGCTGATCTTCTTCCGCCATACAATCCTAGTCTCCAAGGGCCCGGAGAACAAGAACCCAGGGCCCAACACCAGGGACCCCTACTCTCACCACCATATACCAGAAGCAGGTCTGAATATGGTGAAGAGAAAGGGCCATGGGGGACTCCCACTGTCCTCCTCCTTAGAGAGGTGCCTCCTGTAGGTGCAAATCCTGGGGGAAAGCCCTTCATGGTTTATGTCCCCTTTTCCACCAGTGATTTGTGTAATTGGAAGGCCCAGAATCCCCTTTCTCAGAAAAACCTTAGGCTCTGATCAACCTGCTTGTGTTTCAGACCCATAAACCAACATGGGATGATTGTCAGCAGCTTCTCACTACCTTGTTTACCTCGGAGGAGAGAAATAGAATAAAACAGGAGGCAAAGAAGGCGGTCATAGGGCTGGGAGGAGGTTCGTTAGAAGAGAATCGGGACTGGATTGAGGAGGTCTTCCCTTCTCTCTGACCCTGCTGGGATCCCAACACTGCAGGTGGGAAAAGTTCCCTGGACACTTTTCACCAGTTTTTGCTCTTAGGGCTGAAGAGAGCAGCCCAAAAGCCCACAAATCTGTCCAAAGTTTCTGAAATTGTTCAGGAGCCTCAGGAATTGCCTGCTGCTTTCCTGGAGCATCTGTATGAAGCGTACTGGGTTTACACCCCTATAGATCCAGACGCCCAAGAAAACCAGAGGGCAATAAATGTGGCCTTTGTCACTCAGTCTGCCACAGACATCAGAAAGAAGCTTCAGAAGTTAGAGGGTTTTGAGGGGATGAACCATTTTCAATTAGTAGAGATAGCCCAGAAAGTCTTTAATAATAGGGATACACCAGGAGAAAAGCAAGACAGGTGAATAGCTAAGGTGGTAGTAACTGCACTTAGAGAAGCAGGATCCCCCAGCAGGGAGAGACTCAGGGAGGGAAGGCTGGGGAAGGAACAAGGAAGGCAGACCCAGGCCACAACTAGGTAAGAATCAATGTGCTTAATGCAAGGAAGAAGGGCATTGGAAATGGGAATGTCCGAATCATCTGGAAAAGGGAGGGAAGAAGGGAGAACAAGCACTGGCTGTCCTTAACCTTGAGGATTTATGGGACCAGGGCTCCTTCCCACTAAGCCCCTGGGAGCCCAGGGTGACTGCACAAGTAGGGGGCAAGCCATTGAGCTTCCTGATAGACACTGGGGCGGCTCATTCTGTCCTGACCAAGCCCTTAGGCCCGCTAACAGGAAAACAAACCCCAATATAGGGAGCAACAGGTCAAACAGCCCACTACCCGTGGACTACTCACAGGACTGTTAACCCTTTGTGGTCGTATTAAATTTGGACATGGGTGTCATACTGGTCGGAATTAATTTCCATTGAAAGAGCAGTGATACATAATATGTAAGATTATGAAGGATAAACAAGAGAAATTATGAACTGATACATGAATGAATAGAGTTAAGATTCGTACGGTTCCTTGCTGTGGTGGCTGAGAGCAGACATATGACCGGAACGGTAAAAAAGCTTTGGTGGCTGAGAGCAGACAAACAACCACAAAGGGTTAATCTTGGCAAGTGCACGGTGACACATTCCTTCCTAGTCATCCCTGAGTGCCCATATCCTCTCCTTGGACGGGACCTTCTCCAGAAATTGCAGGCGGTCATATCTTTGGAAGAAGAGGCCCATCTCTCTGTGGCCCCCCAGGGACCTGAAGGACTCCACCAGCCACTCCTTTCCCCAGCTCACCTCTTACTCACCTGTCCCCTGTCAGAAGAGTATCTCCTACAGGAAAGGAATGCTGAACCTCAGAGCCCAGATTCTAATGAGTCAAAGTACTTAAGGCACCTCCAGGAGCAGTTCCCAATGGTCTGAGTGGAGAACAACCCTCGGGCTGGCAAGCCATCAACCTCCAGTTGTAGTCCAGCTGACAGCAACTGCCACTCCAGCCCGGGTTAAGACAGAACCCCATGAGCCTAGAAGCTAGGAAGGGAGTTGCTAGACACATCTCCCGTCTTCGGGTGGCAGGAATCTTAGTTCCTTGCCAGTCTCCCTGGAACACTCCTTTATTGCCGGTCCTAAAACCAGGAACTAAGGACTATAGGCCGGTGCAGGATTTAAGGGAAGTGAATAATTGGGTCGAGACTATACACCCAACAGTCCTGAATCCTTATAACCTGTTGAGCCTCCTGCCCCCTGAACACCAATTTTATACTGTACTGGATTTAAAGGATGCCTTCTTCAGTATCCCTCTGGCTCCAACCCATCTTTGCCTTTGAATGGACTGACCCTGAAGAATGGTTCTCAGGCCAGTTAACCTGGACCAGGCTGCCTCAGGGTTTTAAGAACTCTCCAACCCTGTTTGATGAGGCCCTGAGCTCAGACCTTAGGGGATTCTGGCAGGAAAACCTCGGCTGTACCCTGCTCCAGTATGTAGATGACCTCCTACTTGCTGCAAGCAGTGAGGAAAAGTGCCGAGAAACTACCGAGAGCCTGCTGAACACCTTACAGGCCCTGGGTTACCGAGTCTCAGCTAAAAAGGCTCAGCTGTATTCCCCCAGCATCACATACCTAGGGTACAACATCAGTAAGGGCAGAAAGACACTATCCCTTAGCCAGGTAGAAGGAATCCTACGAATACGCACATCCAGAACAAAAAGACAAGTTTGGGAATTCCTAGGGGCAGCAGGATACTGCTGCATGTGGATTCCTGGTTCGTGGACATCGCCAAACCTTTGTATGCCAGCACGAGAGGAACACAACCCTTACAATGGACTGAAACTGAATAACAGGCTTTTGAGACACAAAAAAGGGCTCTAGCCTTGGCACCAGCCTTGGCACTACCAGATGTCACAAAGCCCTTCCACCTGTATGTAAGCGAGGCAAGGGGCATCACCAAAGAGGTCCTCACCCAGGCCCTTGGACCATGGAAAAGGCCAGTGGCCTACCTGTCCAAAAGGCTTGATCCTGTAGCGGCTGGCTGGCCTGCCTGTCTCCGGGCAGTAGCGGCTACGGCACTACGGGTAAAGGAGGCAGATAAGCTGACTCTAGGACAGGAATTAGTTGTGACTGCACCCCATGCAGTTGAGACCCTTCTCCAGAGTGCCCTGGAGCTCTGGATGTCAAATACCCAAGTCACCCAGTTCCAGGCACTCCTGCTAGACCAACCCTGTATCAAGTTTCACAAGTCCCTGGCCATCAACCCTGCCAGTCTGTTGCCAGAGGATATCCCTGAGGAGCCAGTGCATGACTGCCTAGAGGTAATTGACATCATGCAAACCACCGGCCCGGACCTCACCTATGTCCCACTGCCATCACCAGACGAGGTATTGTTCACAGACAGGAGCAGCTACGTTCAAGAAGGCATCGGGTATGCTGGGGCAGCAGTAGTGACTGTAGACCGAGTTGTCTGGTCTCAGTCCCTGAACCAAGGAACCTTAGCACAGAAGGCCAAGCTAGCAGCCTTAATCCAGGCTCTCTATTGGAGTGAGGACAAGTCAGTGACCATCTCCAGTGACGGCAGGTATGCACTGGCTACTGCCATGTACACAGTGCCGTCTACAGGGAACGGGGATTATTGACCTCTGCCAGGAAGGACATTAAAAATAAGGAAGAAATCTTAATTTTGCTGGAGGCTATCTGGTTGCCAAAGGCACTGGCAACAGTGCACTGTAAAGGACATCAAAAGGGAAACTCAGTAGAGGCAACGGGAAACTGGGCAGCAGACCAAACAGCCCGGGGAATGGCCCTAAAACCAGTGGGGCCACTCAAAATTCTAGTGACTGTGCCTGACCCAGATTTGCCCTTGTCCCCCACTTACACTGAATTAGAACAGAAGTGGGATGAACAGAAACAGGCCACTCAAGAGGAAAATGGGTGGTGTATCCTACCAGACGGGAGGCTGTTAGTACCAGAAACCCTAGGCCAGACTTTTAATAACTCCCTACATCAGGTCACCCACCTAGAAAGTACCAAGCTTACTGAGTTGATTAGAGGCAAGTACTATGTTCCAAATCTAGGCCACATAGTAGACAGCATGGTCAAGGTGCATCACCTGCGCCCAAGTGAATGTGAGGCGAGGTAGAAAGTCCCCAGAGGGAATCAGAAGCAGGGGGCTGCACCCAGGGAACATTGCGAAATAGACTACACAGAAGTGAAACCCCCAGGCTCAGGCTACAGGTACTTATTAGTCTGTGTAGATACCTTCTCAGGGTGGGTAGAAGCATATCCCACCAGGACAGAAATGGTTTCCGTAGTTGTGGGGAGCCGTTGTGGCCCCAGGCACGGAGGAGCTGCTTGGGTGAGCTGCAGATGTGCTCCCCTGCTCCCTGGGAGATGTGGGTGAGCTGCTGTGGCCCCAGGCACAGGTGAGCTGCAGAAGTGCTCTCCTGCTCCCTGACACAGACCTTGAGGCACCAAAGTGATACTAATTTAGTTTGGGGCCTTAAATTCTAGAAAGGCTTATTAGGAAGCTGGCCCTGGCCTGAAGGGTTAAGGGACAGTCAAGCTACATACCGAGCCAAGGACTCAATCCTTCCCAACAAGTTCCCATTAGAAGCCGAGACAAAGATAGTTACCAAGGTCTGAGCTCCTGCAGGAGGCAGGATGTTTACGCTGAAGGTGTGTTTGTGCAGCCTGGAGAGAACTACTTTGTATCTGGCAAGGGGAAGGAATGCGGGGCAGGGTGCTATTCAGCAAAAACAACAGCGCCGGTATAAATTGAGCTTGGAAAATAAACTCGGGGCTGCAGCCGTCACGAGCTGCAGTCTTCCCGACCCCATCTATTTCGTGTCTGTCTTTTCTCCATCCTCAACCCTACTCTCTGGACCGTTCGACTCTGCCGGCGCGCTCAGGCAGTAGCAATAAAAAAATTACTCCAGGAAGTAATCCCTAGGTTCAGACTGCCAGTTACTATAGGGTTGGACAATGGCCCCACCTTGGGAGCCAGAATATCTCAGGACATAGCAAAGGATCTGAATATTAATTGGAAACTTCATTGTGCTTACAGGCCCCAAAGCTTGGGACAGGTAGAGCGCATGAATAGAACTCTAAAAGAAACCCTAACTAAATTTGTCTTAGAGACTGGTGAAAACTGGACTACATTACTGCCCTTCGCCCTTCTGAGGGCTAGGTGCACCCCTTATCAGGAAGGGTTCTCCCTCTATGAAATCATGTATAGTGGGCCGCCTCCACTTCTCCCCAAGCTCCGGGAGGAAATGAAGGCCGAAATCCATAACCATTCCCTGCTCAAGTCCTTACAGGCCCTGCAGTCTGTCCAGCAGGCCGTGCATAAGCTTATCCGTGACGCCGCGCCCCTTCCCTCATCGGAGCCTGTGCACCCTTTCCAGCCTGGTGACTCCGTGTGGGTAAAGAAGTTCACCACTCAGGGACTAACACCTGCCTGGAAGGGACCCTACACTGTCATCCTCACCACACCTACGGCTGTTAAAGTCAACGCCATCCCGACTTGGTTACATCATTCACGGCTAAAGGTGAAGAAGACAGGATGGACAGTCCAGGCTTCTTCGGATCCTTTAAAGATAAGACTCTCGTGAATGCCGGACTCTTGACCCTACTAATACTCTGTACAAAGGTTAAATATTGTGCATGCCCATTTCTGAGAAAGGGAGTGCTCCCCACACTGTTAACAGGGAGCCTCCTCAACCTAGGAACACTAGCCCAGGGGGCACCGAGTCCATGCCCATGTGTTTCTACCCTGACACTGACAGCCTTAGATCGGCTTCTGAAAAAGACAGCTCCTGGACCTAACTTTGTTGCATATACTTATCAGCCAGCAGCATGTTAGGAATCAGCAACTCCTTGCACTTGGGGAGAGAAACCTTATTGGATGGGACCAGTGAAGCCAAGGAATTACTAGAGCAGGCCACTAGGCATGAGGATAGTCTACTAGGAAACTGGCTAATCTGGGGAGGAATAGGGAAATGGATCATCCCCCTTATAGGACCCCTCCTACTGATTCCAATGGCCCTGATCTTGGGGCCTTGCATAATTAATTGGCTCTTCCAGTTCATTCAGAGATGAATTAATTCGGCCAAGTTATTAGTTATAAAAGAAAATTATAACCCCCTCCCCCAGGAAGATGAGTCTACAATTTGACTCAAAAGTCACAAAAACCAGTGGGGAATGACCTGGGCTCATAGTAATCTGAATTTATGGCCCAAGGCCCCACCTGGACTCATAAGGTTGGGAAAAGAAATCCACTGAAACTCTATGATTAAGCTCTGACCTTTACACAGGGAATGTTTTCTAAATTGCCCCCAGTTCCAGGAACAAAAACTTAAGATGGTGCCTAAGATAAACTGACTAATGCTTGTTTCGGCTTCTGTACCCAACTGCTTTTGCAAGGCCATTAAAACAGCTCATCCCCCTCCAGCCAAGGAGGATATTTTTTTTTGGTTTAAATACTGCTAGTGTAGGGGGTGNTCCCCCTCCAGCCAAGGAGGATATGATTTTTTGGTTTAAATACTGCTAGTGTAGGGGGTGGGGAACAGCAGACTTGGGTGCGGTGCCCCTGTCGTCTGCTAGCGCAATAAACTTTGCTCCTACATTTGACCCTGAATGTGGCGATCTTTGTCCTTCTCGCTGTTAAGCTATAACACATATTTATCTCAAAAGACACCATAATCCTTCTTCAGAGACGTTAGACACAAAAATATTAGAAAGAATAACCAGAGTTCTAAATTCACTCATATTGTACATTTATAATATACTTACCTGAACACCTTATTTACACAGAATACGAAAGATTCTTAGCCAAATGCAGAAAAAGAAACAAGTATTCTAGGAAATAAAAGTAGGCACCCCGCTTCTTTCAGCACAAAAGTGAGCCTTCAGAACCAAACCTAGGGGCCCATTTCCATTCTTGCCACCTTCTTGATCCAAGAGGCAATATTAACTTTCCTGTTCTCTTAAAAGCATGATCCAACCTTCCAACCATCTTAATTGTCAACAACTTTTAGGGGAAAAGTCAGCAACTTTTGCTTGAAGTGGTCAATGCTTATACTACAAGGGCCCTCCTTGCATGAGAGCAGGCATTGAGGTTTCCAGGCCTGCTTCTGTTGAATGAGCATGCCAACACCATCTTTTTGACTTCCTGCAATCTCTACTCTCCATAGAGCAAAGCCATTGAGTCAAAGCCATGAAGGCTGTTGTAGTCTGCTGGCAAGAATCGTAAGAGGACAGCCCATTCTAAGCCTTAAGGTTTACTGAATGGATTTTAGAGAGGTCTTGAATTTCATCTAGAAAAAAGTAATTAGAATCTTACCCAGAAGTGCCTGTTCACAGTATAGTTTGCCAGGCAATAAGCTGCTGCAGCTATCAATGAAGGAAGATATTTCAAGAATGGGTCAGCTTCAAGTAGACTCAGTTCTGCTACGTACTAAAAACAAGAGAGACAAATCTCATTGGAATTAGGAATTTGACTAAAGTTACAAGTAAACTTAAAAATGTCAGGGAAATTGCCCTGGCTGGAGTGGCTCAGTTGGTTAAGTGTTGTCCCGTGCACCAAGAGGCTGTCAGTTCGATTCCTGGTCAGCACTCATGCCCAGATTGAGGACTCAATCCCTGGTAGGGGACCTGCAGGAGGCAGCCAATGTTTCTCTTTCTCTCCCTTACTCTCTCTTTCTCTCTCTCAAAAAAAGTCAGGCAATAAAATTGTGTCTTATTTTTATTCAACCTGCACCAATTGTCCTTGCAATTGATGCTCAAAATTATTCACTAGGTTAATAACTGCCATGCCTGTCCACAACCAGAAAAATATTTATGTTGTAATAAATTTCAATACACAAGTATTTGGCCTATGCACACAGTATATGTGATGGGTTACTTATGCTAGTAGTACAGGTTTATGCTGGTCAGGTGAAGTAGCATTGCTCTGGCCACTGCAGTGGGACTATAGACTTCAGCCAAAGGCAAACTATGACCACATTAAAGCTATTTATATCAGGCAAAATCATGTAGTTCAGAGGCTAGAACAGTACCAGTGATAATTTATCAAATTAGAAGAAACATTGGGAAATTTACATAGACTTCTTTATTACTGTTTGTATAGCACATAAATACCATATATACTAAGTCATAGTGGTTGGAAACCAAGTTTTCCAAACCAATATGACCTTTAGTGCCTTTGACTAAGTTCTATAACTCCGAATGACTAAATAATGCTTCATTGTTTAATGTGTTAGGGAGGAGATAAGAGCCAAATCAAATCACATTTACTTTGTTCCTATTCTGTACACCTCAGAGATATTGCTTGCATATGATCTGTATCCAAGAAGGGAACAGTTTCCAAGCTTAAATTTCTTTAAGAGTTGCGTGTTTAAACAACCGGTGCCTACCAAACATGATCAATAGTAATATCTCATAACCAGAAGTTGTGTTCTTAAAATTAGTTCCCTTCCATTGCTAAAAAGTTTTTCTGGGCCCAAGACAAAAGGAAAAACAAAACAAAACACAAAACCTGAAAAGGAAGGAAGAACTGAAGGATGATTGGAAAGGCTACTTTTTACCCAACTTGGCACCAACATTCTTGGCAATCACATGGCATACCTTGGCCAGGTTCTCAGTTCTGATGCACACTCCTTGTTTCCTCAAGTACTGAAGGAGAAACTGGTTGGTAGTTGGCACTGTCAGATCAAAAGCTAGGACTTTCAGGAGTAGGTGTTCCATTCTTAACAGTTGTCGTTTTGTGTAAGTATCATCAGTTATATAGACAAACTCGTCTACTTCAGGTGGATATATTTCTTCATATTTCCTGTGAAAGGTAAAGAGTCTTTGGAAGTAATGCTTGGAACCTGTGGCTCTCCTTCCTGTGCTATCAAAACCATGCCTCTCACATGGCCCTTGCAGACTTAAAAAAAATCACTAAATGGTACAGGGCCGTGAAAATACTAGGAATTTATTTCCAGAACAAGAACATGAGTATTACAAAGATATGTTGTATTAACTTCTATGGAGTAACAGAAATAATTTCCAACTAAGAATTTTAGTTTTGGCCTCTGATATACTGAAAGATTCTGAATGACAGACATACATGTAATCTCCTCTTAATTAAAATCATCTTGTGGGAAAGAATGTTGTGTTGAACACATGGTAGAAAAAAATTCCTTAAGTCAGATTTTTTAAAAGATTATGGTTAGCTTTCTCTGTTGAATTAGTAACTGATGCTATGTATCCAAGAGACTGATAAAGTTTCACTGCTATCAATTCTTTGCTTTTGCTTTTGTTTCTCCTTTATGTAGGGAAATTTTGGCAAGCTGTTAGGCATTAATAACTAGAATATCTGAGACCAGCAGAATTGAAAGGAAACTACTACTCACCAACAGGTCACTTGATTAAAGGCAGCTCAGCCACAGTCCAGCTCGTTTCCACACAATTAAATATTATTATCAATGACTGATAGTAACAGGAACTAGCTAAAATAATGTATTCACTGTAACCACATAAACTGTGTATTTACCAGATCATGAAAAAGGCTTCTATATAACCAAAATCTCCTTAAGGAAGGCTTTTACTTGTACTAGAATACAGCCAAAAGATTACACCACAAAACAGTTAAACTGCATCCTGAATTTGAGCTGACGGTTGCCTTAGTCATGAAACTGTACTGTCACTATAAATCATAAACATCTGAATTGAAGAGTGAACATGTGGTAAGATTCAGTTTCTCAGTAAATACTATAAAAGTTATGATATTTTATCAAAGAAGGCATGAATAAGTTTTAATATAAAGTACTGCATTTCTTCAGTAAATGAAGAATAAATCATGTGTTTTTACAGGTTGTAGTTTCACATTATTTAAGCTAAAGAACACTTACGAAGCCAGAAGAATAGCTGCTGTTCCTACAAGCTGCAATTTCCCTCTCAAAACAGACATGCACGAAAGAAACCTGTCTAGAAAGTTGACGGCCAGGTAGAGAGTCTCAGCTTGAAGCTTATATTCTTCTCCAACCTCAACCAGCCAGTCCACCAGAATCCTTCTCATGCCTTCTGTGATGTCTGGTTGTTTCCTCATGTAGTATGCTTTGGGCCTGTATCTTATCTTTTTGGGAAAAGAGTTTTGACATTTAAATACTTGCAGTATCAGAAAGATCACACCACAGTACAGCTGCTATTTTAGAAATCTCATGAGCAAAGATTAGGTGGAAACTGACCAAGAGCCAAATAAATCTTTACTATGATACAAAAGAAAGTGTGAAATTCTGGTTTGTTAATACACTTAAGTAATAAATAAAGGAGGGAGGAAAATGGCAACATGGATTATTCCTAACAGTGAAATACTTAATATATAAACCCTTTGAGTCATAGAGGAATAGTCCACGTAATTGCTACTCACTTCACAACTATTATTTTTCATAGATATTCTTATATTTAGATGTCATAAGAATGCCATTCATTAATGGTTATGGCCAAGAGTTTATAACTATCTTAATATTAAGTGCTTGGGGTGCTGGAAATTGAGGTAGAATTTGGGGAAACTTACTTCAGCTTCTCTAAGGTACTGATGAATTTCTTCAGCATATTCAGCCACATTTATGTCTGTACCAAAATCTGATGCATCTTCAGACTGAGAATGAAGAGATGAATCTACCAGCATAGGGGAAACTGCAGGTTCAACATTATCAGGTAAGACATTAATTTAAAAACTCATTCTATCCACTAACCCTCCACAGGCAGTTGTGAAAACAATCATTACTTTGTGGTTTTCTCTTGCTAGTAACATGCTATTGTAGACTGAAGGTGATTATGAATACAGGGTACCTACTATCTACTGTAGGTGAGTCAGATTACCTGTGCTAAAATCCAGCAGGAAGTGTAGGTCTGACTTGAGTGTGCTGGTGTCTACTTCATACACATCCTCAAATGTCATCCTGTCTTTCCCAGTGCAGCTGTTTTTGTCCTCTTGCTCAGGCTCGTCCATGTAGATATCAAATCCTTGCTTGGCTGGCATGTGGAACCCACAGTCAGAGAGTGCTTTCTTTCCAGCTTGAGGGAAGACATTTTCTGATCCAGAGAAACACCTGACTGTTGTGATCCCCTAGAAAAAGATTAAGTTTTTTTTGTTAAAGGCCACCCCAAGGAACAATAGGTGATGTGAAGCTGTGCGACTCAAACCAGCAGTCTGGAAAGATAAGAGGAATCTTAAATTAAAATATCTATTTCTGCAATATAATTTCAGAAAATGAAGCTTCCGAAGTATGACTTCTTCCTTATCTCTGTCTACATTTGACATTTGGGAAAAGAGCTACCTAAAATTTGTCATCTTCCTCACATATTTATCAAAGGGAGCTCAAGATTATAGAAAAAAGAAACTATAACTAAAATAAAAGGGGATTGTAAATTGGCTTTTATGCTTATATAGTATTACAGGACTTTGTAAGTACCCAGCACAGTTCTTGATGGATAGTAACTGAGTTCCTACAGTCCTCTGCCTTAAACAGTTAACTTTTAGTCAGCAAGCCCCTATAAAGTTCCCATTTTATACCCAGGTAATTAGAAATATGATGATTTTAGAAACTCATACCACTAAATTTTCTTAACACAGAATCTTTTTGTATGACATGATGGGGAAATCTAATAATTGCTTCTACCTTTTCTTTATTCCTATAACACTAATGATATGTACCCCCTCTGTGAACAAGCATAATGTACCACACACTATTGCAGGTTAAGGTGAGTCATGTTGGTTGGCCTGAAGGTCAGCTGAACCAGGGCAGGTGGACAAGCTTTATGAATCTAAGTAATATTTATGCAAATGCTAGGTCTAGCTACTGCTATAAACATTTTATTGTTTATAATTAATCTTGGTGTTTACTGTTGATACTCCTTCCAAATTATGTGTTTCCATAACTTTCCCTTCCATCTTGCAAGTTAAATATGTAGTTTATGTCTACTCAAGAAGAAAAAAATTATTTTTTTTTAATCTTCATCCAAGGATACATTTATTGGTTTTTAGAGAGAAAGTGGAAGGGAGAAAGAGAAATCAATGTGAGAGAGAACATCAATTCGTTGCCTCCCCCATGTGATCAAACTCGAAACCTAGGTATGTGTGTGACCAGAAATAGAACCCATAACCTTTTAGGTGTACGGGTTTACCCTCGAACCAACTGAGCCACCTGGCCAAGTCAAGAAAAAAATTCTTTATGGTAATTCTTGTAAAATCACAGGGACTATAAAGGACCCAGATCACAAGTTACTATAACCAGATAATCATAATTCCAAATTACTACCAAGTTTGACTTTTGCTACATATATATATGTACATGGGTCAAGACATACATTCATTACACATTTACTGAGCATCCACTATATGCCAGACATTGTTCTAGGTGCCCAGAGTTTAGCAATGAACCAAACGTTCAAAAAGAATTGCTTTCATGGAGTTTATATTCTAGTTGGTAGGACAGCAGAAAGAAAAATAAGAAAAGACATAGTAGGTCAAATAGTGATAAGCACTTTGTAGAAGAAAAACACAGGGAAAAGAGAGTCATTGCCATTTTAAACAGTGTGGCCAGGGAAAGCCCTTATGAAGAAAATAAACTTGGGCAAAGATATGAACAAGCTAAGAGAGTAAGTCACGCAGACAGAGGAGGGAAGAGCATTCTGAGTAGAGGGAACAGCATGAGTATATACCCTGATGTTGAAGTGTCTTAGAGACACAGCTAGAAGCAGACAAGGCAGAGTGAGAAAGAGAGTAGTGTATGTAGGTCATGAAGTCAGAAAGAAAAGATAAGCCAGATCATGTACACCTTACCATAGGCCATTTAAGGATTATCTTCTATTCTGAGATGGGAAGCAATTGGGGAGTTTTGGACAAAGGAGTGGTGTGATCTGGTTTATGTTTTAAGAGACTCATCCTGGCTATGCAGAGTTATAGAGAGCAAGTAAGGTGAGTAAGATAACCAGTTGTGAAACTTGCAAATTCCAGGTAAGATACAATAGGGTTTTGAACCAGTGTAGTATTAATAAAGGATGAGAAATGAGGATATTCTAGACATTTTTAAAAGTAGAGCCAATAGTATTATTTTCAGCAAAATAAATATGGGGTAGGAGGAAAAGAAAAGTCAAGGATAACAAAGCTTTTTAGGCTGAATAACAGGAAGGATAGATATTCCATTTATTGAGATGAGAAGACTTGGGAAGAGCCAGTTGGGGTTAGGGTTAGTTTTGCACTGATTTGAGGTGCCTATTGTATGATCCAAGGATCCAAATGGAGCTGTCAAGTAGGCTGTTGAATATGTGAGCCTGCAATATAGCTGAGAGGTCAAGGTGGGAGATGAAAAGTATGAGCCAGCAACAGATGGATGGCACTTAATGTTAACAGACCTGGAGAGACTGCTAAGGGAGTGGGCGCAAACTCAGGTCAACCACTAAGCCCTGGAGCACTCTCACTCTGAGAAGTGGGATAAGGAAGATCCCGGGTACTGAGGGGGAGTGGAAATCCAGGATAGAGTGGTCTTCTCCAGACTGAGCGAGAAGAACATTATTTCTAGAAATACAGAATGATCAGTTAAGTATTGAAAGGACTAAGAATTGAGTCAAAAGTGAGCAAAAGAAGAACTAGAGACAGAGAGCATTTGTTCAACAAGCTCTAGCATACTACCCTGCTCAGGCATTTGCAGTGAACCTGACATCCCAAATCCTCATCCTGATGGAGGATGGGATAAGCAAACTCTTAAGAAACATTGTTACAAATGAGACCAGACACTGCGAAGAGCTTTGTAGTTGAAAGATTTTTAAGATAGAAAAATTATATTTATATGCTTATGTATTTGACCCAGTAGAGAAAAGAAAACTGAGGAGAGAAAAAAAAAGTTGCTGGAATAATGTCCTTGAAGGGGCAAGAGGTATACTACACAAGTAGGGTCACCTTGCGTAAGAGTAGGGACATGAGTCATGCAGCAAAAAAGAGTACACGGCACATGGGAGCATATGGAAATTCGCTTCTGGTTGCTTTCATATTTTTAGGAAAATAGGATACAAAGCCATTAACTGAGAGTGAGGATGGAGGTAGAAGTTGTGGAGGATTAAAGAGAGAAGCAGAGGCATAAAGTAGATTTCTAAGAAGGTTGTAGAGGAACAGAGCAGGGAAATGTAGAGGTAGTTAGTACCAGGCAACGTAAGATGTTAGAACAGTCAGCAAAGGCGTAACTGCCAATTCATAAGAACCAGGCTTTAGACTTTAAGTTCAAAGAAGCAAACATTGCTAAGAAAATTAAGTTTGTTAAAAACAACTTCACTCAATTTTTTCCAAAGCTTTAAACGAGTCACTTTCGGTATTTTTCTCCCACTATTGAGATGCCACAAAAATGCTTGAATGATCAGGTCAGTAGATGAGAGGCTTCAATCTGGCCTCTTCCACTAAGCCCCCCACCCCCTTGAATGCATAAATAAGTGAAATAACAAATAAACCTCTCTCTTTCTCTCTCCCTCCTTCCCTCCCTCCTTCTCTCTCTCTAAAATCATCAATTAAAATATATATATTAAAAAAATGATACCCAGTCTGCCTACCTCACTGGACTACTGCCAGCATCATTCCACTACAAATGTGCATTACAGGCTTTAAAAACCATTTTTATCAGGATTTTGACTAGTAACAGACTTGGGAAAGCTTTTTTTTTTAACCTGAAAATCCATTCTTAAGGACCCAAACCCCTCATTTGTATTTAAGTATCTGATTTTGTTTTCTGTCTGTTAAGGGATCCGTTTGAGCAGTATCTAATTTGCTCTCTATCTGTTTGCCCAACTGCCCTTTGAAAGAATCTAAATCCAGCCTGATCCAATCCTGATTCTAAGCACTCGCCAATGAACACAGCAAAGATCATCCAGGATTGCTTCAGGCACATCTATATCAATCTGCATACCACTCAGGCCTGGAGTAACACCAGTCCCAGAGTTTCTTTGGGGGCACTCACATTTCCTTGCAGCCAGACTTTACATACACTTAACCCAAACAGTTCCTAGACCTATTTCATCAGTTTTGGAGGGGAAAAAATTATTCACTATTTCTAGCTGGAAAACGGACCCAACAAGATGATCTTAAAATAGTCAATGTCCCAACAGTACAGATTCCAGGGTTGGAATACTCAAGGAGAGTTTATAGGCAAAACTGAGAGAGAAACCTACCTCCCACCAGGACAGGAGAGCCCTTTCCCAGTGCTTCTTGGTCATTACCTGGTCACAGGTCTTCCTGTACTGCGCATTCTCAGTTAGCACCCCTAGCACTGTTCTTTGTGGAGGATCCTGGCCAAGCTGGGCTCTGGTTGTCATCTGACAGGCATCAGGACCTCGGGACACTGGAGCCAGGACTACTCTGCTCTTGGAGCTGCTGAGATGCATCACCTCAGTCTCCAAAGGCTGCTGCCTCAGGGAAGAAGAAATAGACAAGCCAGTTAGTCAACCTCTTCCACCAGGGACTCCACCAAGGCTAGGATCTTCCCTGCAGTTATTAGGACCGAAAGGGCATGAGCCACGGGGAGTGAACTATCAAAGCGGCTTTGAACCGAAACAGCAACTTGCATCTGTTGAGGCTTTCCTCCAAGACGTGGCTGACAGCCAGAAGAGGAGAGCAGCCTGACAGACGTCCAAGCCAGGATACTAAGGCGCCAGGTTTCTTGGGGGTCTAAACCTACAAGGACCAGTCTGTCTCCTCTGCGAGGCTTATCCCCCCGCCCCCCACTTCCTGCAAGCAAAAGACCGAGAATACATCTCTACGGTAAGAACGTCGCCTTCCCAAGGGACAAGCAGGGTGCTCCTCCACCGCCCTCGGTCCTTCAGGCAGAGGGCCCCACGAGGGCCTCGCTCTTTTCAGCCTTATATCTATCTGTATCTATATCTATACCTATTTATATCTATGGCTATATCTTTGTCTATGTTTATATCTATATCTATATCTGTATATCTATATCTATGTCACCTATATCTATAGTGTCAAACAATTAGCAAGTGCACCGGGAAATTGAGAACGAGGGGGTTCCCCGGGTGTGGGGCTGGGGCGGGGCCGGAGCGGAGGGCGACGCCCGGACTCCCAGGGGCTGCGGCCTGGGGCGCTCAGCGCTGATTAGTTT